TATATTTCTCCAGTATTTGTTCATCAGATTCTACCTTTTCGATCATGTTTTATGGATATAATATTGAACAAGTCAAAAACAACAAAAGAAATTGCAGAAATGTTATTAATTGAACATTCTCCTCTTACGACAACATACACTGATGTATGCACAGCTTTTATTTTGTATTTGACGTTACCCATTAAATTTGCAGCAGCTGAGCGATCGTTCTCAAAACTAAAAATAACAAAAAATTATGTACGGAGTACGATAGCACAGGATCGATTGAGTGGTTTGGCATATATTTTCATTGAGAATGGGCGAGCACGACAATTGAATTTAAAAGAAGTAATTGACAAGTTTGCTCAAATGAAGGCTCGAAAAGTTAATTTTTAAGTAATATAGTGTAATATAATATATTTTTATTCATTAAATATGTAATAAATTATAAAATAATAAATATATTATACAATTATTATTAGCTCATGATGAATCACTATTTAATAATTAATATTTGTATTATAATTAAATTTCTGTGTTAAAGGGGGCCTCTGTCTCTTATGACCCTAAGGCCACCTAGTTCCTCACTACTCCACTGACTAACTTCAATTCGTTTAAAGGTGCATTTTTCCATTATCATATTATCCGAAACAGCTGAACGTATAGGTACACGGTTAGATTAAATACAAGAGAAATATTTTAAATCATGTGCAGCTATCATACTTATGCTTTTAATGCCTTATTACCTTGTTACCTTATTGGACACATATTTTTAACTAGTCGAAAAAGATGATTTATACTTAATCAGCCAGAAACATTTTACATCTTCGGAAAATCTCACTTGGGTATTATTATTGAATCTGGAATATTATAATTCTATAGAACTCTGAAAATTCAGTAATGAGGTACTGAAAAATTTAAAAAATAAATAAAAACACCTTTATTATTTATAAGAATTCACCGTAAAGTTTTAATAAACGTTTTATTTTAATTTAATTATATAATATAATGTACATTGAAATTTGTGAGAGTTGTTGAGCGCAGGGTACAATGACTTAACAATTTTAAAATCTAATTATCAACTGAAAAATACTAAAAAAAAAAAAAATGTAAGTTAAATTTAAAAATTTGTTATCGATAGTCAACCGATCAGAACCAGAAACCAGTTAGTAGCTATTGTACGTAATTTTATTCTAAAAGATAAATATTTTTTAATAATTTCAAATAGAAAACGTCATCAGCAATCTGATAAAATACTCGTAGTTGTATAAATTGAAAAACTCCTTTCTACTTTCATCGAAAGCATGGACATGAATTTACTATAGTATCTAATGTCATGTCTTCCGGAAGTCCTCCCATTGATGTTTCCTTTCAAATGTACGTCTGCACATATAGTTTCAAGCATTTTAAACCAATATATTTTCTAGTTTTCTGACGACCAGTTTTCCTATTCGTTGTATTCGATTTCACGACAAGCAAGTACTTTTCTTTAATTCATTGAATCAAAAATTACAAATTAAAACCCATTGATCTTGAGACATGTATGATATAAATATAAATACCGATCTTTCGAATATCTCATATACATAGATAATGAAATTATTTTGTAAAATTATAAAAAAAAAAAAAAAATCAATAAAATAATCTAATATAATTAAATATTAATATAATAATAGTATTTTTATTGTTTTATTGCCTTAATGTATGTATATTGACAACTCGATGCCGAATCAATATTTTCTTAGATTAAACACCGTTTATACTTAATCATTTATAAGGTTTTTATCTATTAAAAATAAGAAATTCGTATAAAGATAATTCTTTAATCTGCTATAATTATCCATTCCAAAGTTTAAAGATTAAATTTTGTATAAATACAATTATAGTACTTTATAATTTGTTGGCATTAATTTGGTGCTGAATTAATGTTATTTTAAATAAAATACTGTTATACTTGATGTACATAATATTAAAAGTTTAAATCTAATAAAAATACAGTATAAAGATAATACTATAATCTGTTCTTTCTTTCCACTATTCCACGACCGGCCTCTAAAAAATAGTGATTGTATTACTAACGGCTATTGTTGGCTCTTTGTACAGACAATCAATATTTTAACGTAATTGATTTGAAATATAACTATTATAACTGTTTAAATTATCCTAAATTGTCCTAATTGTAACTGAATTTCTAATCAAAAACAACATTAATACGTGTATGAACACCTATTGTTAAACAAATGTACTGAATTGGATATATTCAGTGTTTTTCTCGCAATAAAAACCCGTTAGAAAGAAGTTACGTAAGGTGTAGGTACGCGTAGGTATACTTGAAAATATTTTTAAATGTATCTGCAACATTGGTATCATTTACTATGCGTCTAAGTATCCGTCGACTGCGCGAATTGTGTTAAATTAATTTATTACGCTGTACGTGGGGGTATGCGCAAAATCATTAATTATTATATGTGCGAATAATATAGTTTACACCCCGACAGACCCATAAGTGCATTACTTTTAACTGTTGAGCTTCGATAACCAAGCCATAAAAGTAATGAAATCGTAAATTTTATTTCAGAAAACATTGTGCCATTTCAAAAGGTTTAGAGCTGTAGCTCAAATCTCGAAAATTTCAATTTTGCCAGCAAACGATGAACACTCATTAAAAGTAGCCGTGGCGCTTGTCGGGCCGATCAGCGTGTCGGTCAACGCAAGTCCGAAAACATTCCAACTATATTCGTAAGTATATTACTGTGATATATATACATATATATATATATACACATATACACACATCTAAAAAAGAAACATATTTTATATTAATAAATTTTAAAAATTTGCTTGTTTTCACTTGCCTTAAACCATTCAAGCCAGTCAGATTTATCGTTGACATCTATTACGTATATTTTTGTCATGGCATCCAAAGTGCTTTTTAAATTATCCGATCAAAACGGATTTCGTACCGCTCCGTGCAATTGTTTTATTATGTTATTATAATTATCAAAAACATGAATAGAAAATTAATACGGATCGGATATGAAGTTGACGTGTTAGATTACGAGATCTTGACACGTTGCAATTAAACCATTTTTAACGAAAAATCTGATTTGAGAAAGTATGGTTAAAAAACTGAGGAAGCTATTTATTACGAATTTGAGTTATAGTTAAAAATAATACGAAATCAATCGTACAATATATTACCAATAAAATTAATTAAATATGATACGATGTGAAAAAATAAAACAAACATTTATTACCCACATTGTAATAATATTTAATCGACATCAAGCATATTAAGCCTTAAATATCGGTAAATGTAAGTTGCACCATGTAAGTTGTGTATGTAAGATTCACGATTCCGCATTATACGATTCCACAAATACCTTTTCACACGGTTCCGCACAAAACTAATTTGCGACGTTGCCGATTGTATTATAAAAATTATTTTAAACATAAAAATAGTCGATAATAATATTACATATAAGTTATATTATAACATTATTTTGGTTTTTTATCACATATAAAACGGCCAATTTGATCACCCTCATCCACATACCTATTTAGTTATAAAAGTATTGATGGAATTTCAGTTGGAAACCGAAACTAAAATCAGATCAATTACTTTATGTAATAATCGGAAAATATTGAACGCAAAAAAAAAATAACTTATGAAATTTACCATAAATGCATACAATAAGTATGAAACAAATCAAATTGATATCATTCAATTTTTATCACAAGTTGGTCCTCAATATCAAGGAAAAAAATTGTAATTTATTGCTTATTTTAATTATAAAATTTTTTTTTAATAATTTGTTTTATTTAGTATTATTACTATAATTATTTTTCCTCATAATTGGCAACGTCGTAAACATTTTTATGCGGCATCGTGTTAAACTTGGGTTAAGTAAAAAAAATCTTTAGTATTATGAAAATGTGCAAAATCGGGTATGTAAAAAATTATATCGTATAGAATCGTGTCCCGTCCGAAAAAATAAACTTAGGTTATCACTTTAAAATGAACTTATTCTTGCAATTTCACGTTTCCGCCATTGTTCAGTAAGTGCATACTGTTCAGTTACCTCGAATATTAACTATACGTGATTACAAAATTAAACCGTAGTGTCTTCACTAAAATAAGATTAGTCGTTAGCATATAATTTGCAAAGTTGAATTATGGTCTATGGAGAAACAAAATACTATTAACCTTTAATATGAATAGTTAGTCGAGAATAGCAATATTGTAAATGAATAATTTATAAGAAAATCAAATTAGTAATGCTGCAGTAGAAGTGGAATTTTTTAAATTAATAATTTTACTTTGGCCAAAAAAACACTTTGAACATAATTAAAATAGTAATAATATAACATATAGGTAAATACTAAAATAATATTTAACAATTTAACCATGTAAAATAAGTGTTTGGCCCAATTTACCACTGAGGTATAACCTTGTATTGTTGAAAATTTACCTAAATATAATATATTAAATGAAATTGCTCCCCTCGTCTGGAAAATATTTTACTATTTCAGATTAAAGCAATTTATTGTTCGATGTACAAAAAAAAAAAAAAATAATTAACCCTTCGTTAGTCACGTGGGTTACTATGGTATCCCATCAATTTTAATCCTTAATAGTAAATTATTGCTTAATTAATACTATTTTTTAGTATATCATGATATTATAGAACACTTCCAGAATGTGTTTATATAATATTTAGTCCAAAATGATCATATTATTGTGAATATATTATTATAACTATATGCTATATAATGCGTAAATATAAATATCCAATTTTAATAATACTTTTATTTGATCCTAAAAATCATAATTACAATTGATTATTTGGCTATTATCTATACACATTGTTATTATACAGCTTAAAAAAAAAATTACAAATTAAAAAAAAAATTATTTCTGTTTACATATAAAATTAATAAAAAGAGGACGTCGTACCCGCATGTGTTGTCTCCGTCTTACACATGTGTGACATGGTAAATTTTCGTTCACCAGTTTTAATAATGTGCTTTTAGTTTTTATATTGGAGTGAATTTGTCCTATTATTAAATTTATAGGTAAAAACATTATATCTGTGTTCTCTCATTGGTTTTTTACGATATTTTAATAATATTAATATTTGAAAATGCTCATAATTCACTTAAAAATTAAAATATCATAAAAAACCAACGAGAGAACACGGATAATGTTATTACCTAAAAGTTTGATAGTAGGGCAAATTCACTCCAATATAAAAACTAAAACCACACTATTGAAACTGGTGAACGAAAATTTACCATGTCGCACTTGTGTAAGACGGAAACAACACATATGGGTACGACGTTGATTAATATCGAATAACATAACAGAAAACGATTAACGATTGAAACATAAAAGAAATTGCCATGGAAAAATATTTATAACTATCAGTAAAATAGATTTTGAATATGGTTATTTTTGTTAGATTGACTTTTATGACTAGGCAATTCAAATAAAATAAATATAAGAAGAATGTATAAAACAACAATAACTTTATCAACTAATAAAATATAAATAAGCATTACCAATGATAATTTATAAATATGCTTTCTGAAATTACGAGTACGTCGGATATTGTCAGCGCGGAACCCGTACACTGATTTAAATAACGCAAAACGCTAAATTGTTCATAACGTTTTAATTATCAATAACGGTAAACGGAACATTTTACAAACGTTTAAATTATTTATAACGTTAAACGCTCAATTGCTTATAACATTTAAATGTCCCATAACAGTAAGCAATATATATTATTTTGATTTAAACCCCGGCACAAACAGAAATTTTTGAAAAAAGCTAAGAAAACATGCACATTTCGATTTCATATAATGGATATTTTATACATTTTTTTTTTTAAATCAAACCATTTATATTAAATGTTGATACGAGTATACTCATATACATAATATATAACAATATCACGTCCATAAAATTATTATTTTTTGAGTCACGTTGGAATATGTCGTTACATTTTACAGTAAATATAATTTTATATTTTGTCAACTGTATAATACTTGTATTATTGTAATTTTGTGACAATATCGCATTTCCAAAAGTACGTGTATCAAATATTCCAATCATTAAACGTAATTTAAGTATATGTTCGAAATGGGTTAGGTAATCGAGCGTTATGATCTAAACAAATTATTGACAATTAAATATCCCCGATAGTGATAATTTTTTTTTCTACATTTGACTTAAACTGTGTTTGGCGTACTGACAAACAATAAACCTTGAAAAGACTAATAGCTAAACGAGCGTGTCGTATGCTTATCGCAGGATTTGCAGTAACTCGGTACCGTGTGTAGACGAATAATTTTATGTTGACCTTGTTAGTGTTTAATGATTAAACGAACAAAAGCTACGATGAGATTTTGTACGGTTCCGCGTGTGAACATCTGTTCTATCGAACAGTTTTTTTTTTTTAGTAGTACTACATATAAGGATTACGAAATACAAAGATGGGAAAATAAGAAAATAAAAATTCTAACCGTTGTTTTTTGCTTAGGTCACTTCTTCGGTGACTAAAAAGTAGTCGTTTGATCGACCTTCGTCGTGCTTTTATACATGCGAAAGTTCCAATTTTCGAAAATGAATCTTTGAATGATTCTTTATCAAAGCATTACCAAATACGTAAGAAATCGTAGAGCATTTGATTTTGAAAGTCTGATTTTATAAGTTTATGGTATCTCATTGCATTCAAGATCCAGAATAGGGTTTAATTGTATACATTTTATTTTTGGTTTTTTTTTGTAATTTTTTTTCTAAACTTCCGTATTTTCATTTTTTATTATATATGAATCACTAAATGCAAGAAGGCACACGTCCATAATTTTCATAAAACTACATTTTTACAGATTTTTGTTTGGATTCAACAATTACACCATTCTGTGCAAACGGGACACATGTCCAGTTTACTGGTATGTTATAAAATGATCATATTTTGTGTTAAATGCAAAAACGGCGTATGTCCTAGACATGTGACCTTTTTTGTCTCTTCTGAAAAACTATAAAATGTGGACATGTGCCCTTCTTGCGTTTAGTGATTCATATATGTTTACATATTTTGGTTTTTTTTTTTAAATAAATTTAAATTCGAGCCTAATAGATTATCATTGATCCGATGATTATGATTTAAACATAGTCAAACCAGATTATAATTCTATGAACATAGATAGTTCTGCGAGTGACTGAGTTAGATGAATTCGTAGTGTCTAAATGGAGAGGGATATCAGCGTAATGGATTTAGGTCTACAGTAAACAAGGTTTTGTAAAATGTAAATCCAATTAATAAAGTGCTTCAAAACCTTATGGAGTAAATTGGTTAATAAAGTAATTAACTTTTTTTCAAGTAATTGTTTGAATAGTATCCGCCTGGGTACATTTTTTACAACGAAAACCCGATTTATTTTATTTGTATTTTAAATACGGTAATACGAAAATAAATCAAATAATGAATTCAAGAAAGAATATAATATGCATCGTCTTGTCACTTAAAGGGGAAATAAATCGAGGGGTATAATACATAGCGAATTCATTCACACCTTTCTTTTCAGAAATAATGTAAAAACTTTTAGAAAAGAAACTCGATTCACGACACCCTCTAATGATTAAGAAAGAAACTGATGGACACTTCCTTAAATATTCATTAAGACGTTTTTTACAGACTACCCTTAACCAACGCGTGTTTTCCAACCGACGA